CAGCCTCTGTGCCCCGTTGTTGGCCCTCCAGAGGAACTGGTTGGCCACTGTGAGAGACATGATGCTGGACTAGATGGACCATTAATCTGATCCAGCAGAGCTCTTATGTTCTTATGGCCGTATTAAGATGGCAGGGCTCTTACTGTTGCTTTCCCTTTTTCTTCTCTTGAGAAAGGAAGAGGAAGACATATAGTAGGGAGAGCACTTGGTTGTCAATTGAAGAGATAGGATCAAAATTCAGGAGTAGAATTAGGAAGGAATAACAACTACCATAGGTAAGCTTTTAGCAGAGCTCCTCTAAAAGCCAGAGCTCCTTTTCTAGGCAAGAAAAGAAGAGGGGATTAAGGTGACCCCCCACCACCACCATAGGAGACAGGGCTGCCATTCCCTAGTTGGGAGCGGGGGATCCCCTGTTTTGTTGGGCTTCTGTCCACCACCAGCTAGCTGGCCAACAGGAGAAAAAAACCCTCCCAAACAGCAATGTTGCCAGAAGTAAATGTGACATGCTGATATCACGTGGAAGTGACAACACCACGTTGGTGATGACACTCTTGTTTTTGGGCAAAACTCTAAGATTTGAGGTTGATTTTACCATAGAGAACGATTAAAGCCACAGTGGCCAAGAGTGCCTTGTATCAGCTGTATCTGTTTTTTCAGCTCAGCCAATCTAGCCACACTGATTCATGCTTCTGTAACCTCACAAGTGGATTACTGCAACATGCTCTACATTGGGCTGCTCTTGAAGACAACTCAGAAACTGCCGGTGATCCAGAAAAGAGCAGCCTGACTACTGCCAGGAGTGAGTCAATGGGAGCATATGTTGCTGGTTCTGAAACAACGACACAGGCTGCCAATTTGCTTCCACAAACAATTAAAGGTGCTTTAAAACCCTTTGTGACCATTTCCTTCCATATGTTCCTGTGCACCAACTATGGTCTTCAAGCTGCTACTTCTTGGCTATTCGCAGACTTAGAGTAGTGTACCTCGCACTGAGCACATAAGAGACGCCAATGTTGGATCAGGCCAAAGGCCCATCTAGTCCAACACTCTGTCACACAGTGGCCAAAAATACCAGGTGCCATCAGGTGGTCCACCAGTGGGGCCACACAGCCTGGGCCTTTTCCACTGCAGCCTCCACTCTGTGGAACAGGTTCCCCAAAGAGGTGAGGGCTGCCCCTTTGTTGGAGATGTTTAGGAGGCACTGCAAGGCCTGTTTGTTTGTCAGGACATTTGACAGGATATGAATAGCAGGCATCTTGAGGGGGGTGAGAAAACTGAGGTTTAAGTTATTTTGCTTCTAACTTGGTTTTAATTATTACTGTAGGAAAGAGCAAGAGTCCAGTAGCAACTTAAAGACTAACAAAATATGTGGCCGGGTATGAGCTCTCGTGAGCCACTGCTCACTTCTTCGGATAATTATTACTGTAAGCTGCCAAGAGGAAAGGTGGGGTAAAATATTTTAATACATCATTTATATTAAGTAAACAACTTATAGAAACCTATCTCAATTTCAGCAAGAGAAGTATATTTTAAAAAATAGAGATATACCAGACACTGAAAAGTTCCAAGAAACAGTAGCTCATTATTTACCATGTAATTTATATCAACAAGGTCCTATTCACTCATACTAATAGGCCATTGTAAATGTTGTACTGAACACTACAACCTTTCTGATCAGCAGAGAAAGCTACCTAGCAGCCATACAGATGCACAAGCTGCTGGTTTGGAATTGCTTACACTCAAGTGCCAATGAAGAATGAAGGTAACTGATCTTGGCCACCTCATCCTATTCATATTAGGATAACCAGAAGACTAGGAACAACAAATCTCCAGAAGACGTAAAATTACATCCCTGTATTTGTTGCTGCCTTCACCTGAATACCCCAGACTAGCCTGATCTCATCAGCTCTCAGAAGCTAAGCAGGGCCAACCTCATCTAGTATTTGGATGGAAATCCTCTGAGGAATACTTGGGTCGTGACATGAAGACAAGCAATGGCAAACCACTTCAGAATGTCTCTTGCTTTGAAAACCCTGTGGGGGGGATTAAAAACTTCTGGTCCCAAGTGTTGAAAGAAATAAAGAAGATCACAAGAGAAGACATCCCACTTGATCCGGCTATATTGCTTCTTAACTCAAGTTATACCATTGATGAAACGGAAGTAAAAATTACTAAATTAGCCGCCACATTAATAGCCACAGCACGGCTTTCTATTGCTGCCTCATGGAAAAATCCTGATCCTCCTTCTATTGATCAATGGAGAAATAAATGTTGGGACCACTTTGTGATGGATAAAGTAGCAGATAAATATGAGTCACACACACAAGGGTATGCGCGGTCCCATTCCAGATTCATTCGAAAATGGTGTCCTCTTATAACATACTTTACAGAAAACGATGTCTGTTCCTACTGATAAGTTTATAGATGGCATTGTGTTAAATGAATTTGCACTTACAGTCTGTATTATTGTTTATACAGTAATCTTGTTTATGTATATTTGACTTATCTTCTAATAAAATCGTTAAAAAAAAAAAAAGAAAACCCTGTGGGGTTGCCATAAGTCAGCTGTTACTCTAATGCGAAAAACAACAAATTTGGTTGCTGGGGTAGTTCCAAAAATTATAAAAGCAGCTTTCACTCTGAAAGCATGCTATTGCCTCAAAGATTTTGCAGATGACCAACACCCCAATAAAAACTATAGGGCAGACAGAAGATATATAAATATTCATATACCTTTTAAAAAATCTTTACACAAGAAAGTACTTTTGTGTTAAGGAAGATAAATGCTTTTGTTCAACTTTAACATCACATTAAGTCTTCAGGAAAAGTCCAATCAACATAATCTCCCTTATAAATAAAAGCCGAATGGTGGTGGCACTTCTCTAGAACATTCCACACGCTCCAAAATCAGTTCGCTCTCTCTCCCCCCCATAGCCAGTCAGAACACAGAGGTTATTTGCATTGGCCTCTGCCTCCGAACACAGGTCGTTTGCATATGCGACTTGATTGGCTTTTGCCTCTAACATTCTAAACAGTTTGCTGTTCTGAGGTAAAATGTGTCCAATCTCCAGGTGAGGGCTGGTGATCACTCAGAATTACAACTGCTTTCCAGATGGCAGAGATCAGTTCCCCTGAAGAAAATGGTGGGCTTTGTATCCTTATATGCTGCTGAGGTGGCCCCCATATGACAGCCAATGTGACATAGCAGTCAGGGCTTCAGAGCACGGGAGAAGCTGCAGGTGTGTGGGGGGTGGAAAGCTGAAGAGTGAGGGGGAAATAAAGGTAGGTTGATGATTGGCTGGGCAGGAGATAGGGTTGCCAACTCCAGGTGGGAAATTCCTGGAGATGTGACAGATGGAGCCTGGAAAGGGTGAGGTTTCAGGAGGTGTGGGACCTCGGACAGGTACAAAGCCATAGACTCCACCCTCCAAACCAACTATTCCGTTTTGGGGAACCATTGTTGCCAATCTCCAGGTAAGGGCTGGAGGTCACTCAAAATTACAACTGTTCTTTAGGTAGCAGAGATCAGTTCCTCTGGAGAAAATGGTGAACTCAGTGTCATTATACCCTGCTGAGGTCGCCACAGCAAATTGACACTGAGTGTCCAAGGCCGGGGCACCCGCCCAGAGCCTCTTTCTAGAGGTCGTTGTATTTATTTCCACAACGGGTCTTTTTCCTAGTGCATTAATACAAACCTTCTTGGTTCTTTCTATGACTGTAAGCCCCCTTCATAAAATTTGCTTCAAACTCATCAAAATTTAACAAACATTTAGAACTTCTTTGTTGATCCATCTTGAATATACTGAGCTCTTTCTAAAAAGATAATTCCCTGCAATCATAAAATGCTATCAACATATTAAAAACCTCCAGAATCAGCTCAGGTAATTGACACCATCCATAACAGTAGAAACAGCTTTGCCATTCCATATACAAACTCCTTATATGACATCCCGTTTCTAACACTGTACTTGGCATGTACAATGTCCCACATTCAATCCATGATATATGCAGTTAAAGAACCTTAAATAATAGTTTGGGAAATATATTTTTCTAGCCACTGACAGTCAGAGTAGGCAATTCTGAGCTAACATTCCAGTAAGATAATGTTCAATTTTCCCCACCAACTTTAAATATACCATGATTACACTAGTATCAGTATTTATGGAGATAACTTTATTTTATATGGAAGACTCACAACAACAGGGACACAGTAAGTTAAGACTGGAAGTTTGTTACATAGGCAGTCACTCTCAAATCAACAAATATTTGATCACTTCCATGTATGATTCAACTATAATGAGCTATTTAATTCAAGCTATGGTCAATTTTAATCCTGCACTTGATGTTGTAGCGCCATCCCCCTCCCCCAAATCTATTCACATGGTACTTAAGAAAATTCAAACTAGTCCATCTCTTGGAACTCAACATGCTCAAATAAACGATACTCAAGATTCTATACTTCCGCACAACTTCCACTATGAAATTAAAATGGATAATATGCTTAAAATCAACAGATCTCCCATTTGAGATTAAGGTATCATTAACTTTGATTCAAAACTTTATTCTGATACAGCAATTAGATTTTAATCCAGTTTTGATTTGGGTTGAAAACATGTTACAAATAATTTAGTTTCTTAATTCCAAGATAAATTGACTAGCAAAGAATATCTAATTTCAATAAGCTACAGTAAAGTTAAATATTCAACTCATACTTCTGTAGCTCATAATATAAATTCTAAAATAATAAAAGCCTGATTTTCTAAGGAGAAAGTAAGTGTTAAAAGTGTTACGTTAAACTGATGCCATTTGTACTCATCATTTGCAGAGATCAATTTAAGCAACATGCAAACTAGAAATCTGTTGTAAAAGTACCCAAAGAACTGCACTACCCAGATCATATGTCCTAGTTATAAAAATGTCCTTCGCAAAAATATTTTGTTGTGCTGATTATGTGTTGTGAACGTGTGTGTGTATATATATTTTAAAAACAAACTACTCACTGTAACACCGGTAACTCTGAAGTAATCATTGTTTAGCACACTAAGGACTGCTAACAGAAACACAAGAGTATCTTGTAGTGGTGTCTTTATCAGCCAATGTTCTTGTAACTATTTTCCAAGCAATCTCCGTCCAGCCTATAAACAAAAAACAAAAACTAGTTTAAAAAAAATCACAATTATGAAATTAAATTTAACAGATCCAATACAAAAGCAGCTTAAGAAAAAGAGGAGGAGAGAATGTCACACTTGGGGCATTTTGAATGTACAAAACAATGGTAAGCATGTCATAAAATCCTAACCACATACTTATATGAATATATTGTAATGCAGTTTGCTAGTATTTTGCAGTGCCAGACACTTAACAGAATATGGAATTTGGTCCTTCCTGAAAACTTAGAGCATTTTTAAGTGGAAGCTGTCATTGGCTAAAATGAAGTATAAACTTTAAATAACTTTAAAGTTACACAAATATAATATGTATTTGTAGTGAATCAATATTTGTACCTATTAGCAGGAAAGAGACAGCTCTACCCATCATGAAAACAACATTAAAATTTAACCATTACAGAATCTTTAACACTAAATGCACATTATATATGAGATATTCGCACCAAAAGAGACAGTGGTAAAAGCATTTAACATTTCAATAAAAAGATAGTTTACAATAAAATCATAACCTACCATCATATTTTGAATTCAAACGAAGTATGCATTACAGCATGATTCTACTATAGGAAACCAAAGTTTGTAATACGGGGAGCTTCTTTGTAAGCTATTTGTAAGCTGTCACTGAAACTATGAGAAGCCCATTTTCTAGAGGCCTCCCCTCAGTCATACTGTGGTCAGTATGAAAATCTTTAAACTGATACGACAAAGAACAATAAAGTATCTAAGAGCACATTCTCTCCACATATATATATATATATATATATATAAAAAGAAAGTCCCCTCACCGTAAAATCAACGCCCAGGCCAAACCGCTGGACCTAGAGACACCAAATTCGGGAAGAGCACTCCTACCATGGCGTGGGTGCTCGCTAAGAAGGAATTTTTAGAAATTCGACCCCTAAGTGGATCAAAAGGGGGAAAATGTGCTCCCCCATGGATACTTATGCGGCTGCCAGGCGGCTGCCTCTCTGCACCCCCCACTCTGATTGGTCAGCTGCAGAGCTCAGTGTTCTGAGGTTAAAAAAAAAAGCCAACAGTTACAGGGGACTGCAGACAGCTAATGACAGTTGAGGAAATCAGGAGTGGCCAAGAACCACCTGTGAGGTGAAGCAAAGCTGCTGGCCCAGCCTCTCTGATGGCTTCCAACACACTCCCCCCCACACTCCTACACCTAAGAGGCAGTTTGTCTGTCAGGTGCAGACCCATCTTAACAGTTACTTCTAATACTCCTCCCCCTCCCCCCTCCTACACTGGACAGGCAGCTGCCTGTCAGGTGTAGGAGAGGAGGTGGGGTGGCTTCCAACACACTCCCCCCACCTTCTACACCTAACTTGTGGTTGTCTGTCAGGTGCAGACCCATCTTCACAGTTACTTCTAATACTCCTCCCCCCTCCTACACAGGACAGGCAGCTGCCTGTCAGGTGTAGGAGAGGAGGTGGGGTGCCTTCCAACACACTCCCCCCACCTCCTACACCTAACAGACAATTGTCAGGTGCTGCCCCACCTCCACTGTGGCTTCTAATACTCCTCCTCCCTCCCCCTCCTACGCTGGACAGGCAGCTGCCTGTCAGGTGTAGGAGAGGAGGTGGGGTGGCTTTCAATACACTCCCCCCACCTCTGTCAGGTGCAGCCCCACCTCCACCATGGCTTCTAATCCTCCTCCCCCTCCTACAGTGGACAGGCAGCTGCCTGTCAGGTGTAGGAGAGGTGGAGTGGCTTCCAACACTCTCCCCCCACCTCCTACACCAAACAGGCGGTTGTCTGTCAGGTGCAGCCCCACCTCCACCGTGGCTTCTAATACTCCTCCCCTCCTACAGTGGACAGGCAGCTGCCTGTCAGGTGTAGGAGAGGAGGTGGGATGGCTTCCAACACACTCCCCCCCTACCTCCTACACTTAAATGGTGGTTGTCTGTCAGGTGCAGTAGTGGTTGCAGGGTGCTTAAAGCCATGAGGGAGCCCGCCCCAACAGTAACTCCTTAGTGATCCTGCCAGCCCTGCCTCCAGAGTGGCTTCTAATACTCCCCCCCTCCCCATCCTACACTAAACAGGCAGCTGCCTGTCAGGTGTAGAAGAGGAGGTGGGATGCTTACAGCCACCAGTGAGGTTTGCTCAGCAGGATTGGCCTCCCCGATGCCTTTAAATACAATCCCCCCCAACACCAGACAGGCCTCTGTCTGTGAGGTGTAGGAAGCAGGGCCAGGGTATGAATGTTTATGGGGAGATAGTAAAGGACATTTCTAAGAGCCATTTCGATGCGTGCCTCACTCATGAACCTGAAGAAATGTTCACCACATCACCACTCCCTCACACCAACTCCCGCTCACACCTCTCACCTCTTACTGCCCCCAAGAAAGCTCCTTGCAAACATCAAGCCAGATACACCAATGCTACAAGGAGGCGGCAACTTAGGAATGCAGCAAAGACATTTGCACATAGTACTCCTGCAGTGCACTGAGCTGCACAGGCCAAGTACCAGCAAGATCACCCTGAGGTGCTCAGAACCACACAGTCTCCATATGAGCAAAACAATCCAGGAACACAAGTAGAGACATTACTTTCGTGGAAGGTAGCAGGAGTTGACTTAACAGATGACTGCTTCTTAAATGGACAGTTCTATATGGCCTGCTCCAGAGTGAGCTCATCAAGCAGACTGGTGATCCTAGCACCTGAGGGCAGAACTACCAATCTGGTCTAGAGAGAGGTCCTTCAGTAGAGAGAAAAAAAGTATGTATGTCTCACTTCATTTCTTACACTACAATCTTCTCTATTAGAATTCCTAGAACAAATGTCACATTTCAAATTTCACATCATCAGTATTATAACTGGATTTACGGAACTTAAATACCGTAGTGAAGCTCGGGTAGCAGGCTAGTCTCTGATAAAATTAGCAGGATTCAATGGAACTACTGGCCAGAAGATTTAAGACAGACTGAACAACATGTTTCTTCACACAATGCCCTGATCAAGTGGAAAGACAGGATAAAAATGTTCTAAATAAATAATAAAATACATACAGCAGATAATTGAATTATAGTATTTACTGCAACATGAAATGCTGATAGCCACTATCTTATAGCATTTTACCAGGACACGAACAGCTGTGCCCCTGTGGTCTTAACTCCCTGGACACGACTGAGCACATAATTGTTGAATGCCCCCTGTATGAGCTACCTCACGAGAAATTCCTTCTAACTTGGCATCATCCTAAAAGTTATTTGAGTAATAAATCAAAATCTCAACTTTTCTTGAATGATTCGATCCCTGAGATCACTAATGATGTTGCCAAGTTTATTACAGAAGTTCTTAAGATACAAAATTTTAGATAGTACTATTTTGATTGTACTACATTTATATGGAATTTTAGATTTAATTTTACAATACAATGTTTTATATACTTTATGACTGATGATATGCCAATAAAGGTCTATGAATGAATGAATTATAGCATTTTAAAATGAAATTAGACAACTGCATCTAAGAAGTCAATCACTGGCTTTTAGTTGCAATACTTAGATGGAATGGACCACTGAATACTTACCATGAAGGGTCCTTCTCCTTTGAGGAAAGGAGGACATCTTGGTGGTATTTCCCACCTTGCAATCAGGGAAACAGGAACAAAGCCTTCCATTTCCCATCTCCTTGGTTTGGTGTAGTGGTTAAGTGTGTGGACTCTAATCTGGTTTTTTTCATAGAGCTATCATTCCATAAGATCCTAGGCGATAGTGCTTGTCAGGTTGGTGTTGGAAATAACATCGGGTTCTAGTAAAAGGGCTGACATTGAGAGTTAAATGAGTGGAAGATGGTCACTGATTATATAATCACCAATAGTGAAGACTAAAATATGAGATTCCAATGAAGGGGAAACTATAAAATAGTCAATTACACTGTAGCCCTTTGTTGAGACAAATGTATATTCTCCAGATGTGGGGAAGTTGGTCAGCCCATTCAGCCAAATGTTATTAAATTGAAGACAAAGTTTGGCAAGATAGATGTCTGCTGAGTTTATATGGCAATCTTTGGAATACATTGTAGAGGTGAGAAAAGGTGGGAGTGTATCATCCTGACTAATTTCTATAGCCTTAAAGAATATTTTATGATCGTTGCCTACTCTAGCGTTAAAATCACCTGCCAGAATTATTTCAGCCAAGGGGTGTTCTTCTTCTAGTTTTTCTAGAAAAGTAGTTAGTCATTTCCAATGTTGGAAAAGAGAGTCTGTCAAAGGAGATGGGAACATATATGGGGACTGAGACGGCTTTGGTCGCCCTGACTGACGATCTCCGGAGACATCTGGATCGGGGCGGTGTGGCAGCACTGGTGTTGTTAGATCTGTCGGCAGCGTTTGACACTGTCGACCACCAGCTGCTGACCCATCGCCTTGCCGACGTGGGGATACGGGGGCTTGCCTTGCAATGGTTTGCCTCTTTCCTCCAAGGTCGGGGACAAAGGGTGGCTCTCGGGGATCAGCGCTCCCATAGGCACCCCATTGAGTGTGGGGTGCCACAGGGAGCTGTGCTGTCCCCGATGCTATTTAACATCTATATGCGCCCCCTTGCCCAGATTATCCGGAGTTATGGGCTTGGGTGTCACCAATACGCGGATGACACCCAGCTCTATCTGATGCTGGGTGGCCGGTCGGATTCGGGTCCCGATGACCTATATCGGGCACTCGAAGCTGTGGCTGGTTGGCTCCGACTGAGTCTAAGATCAAGTGTAGTCTTTTCAATTTTTCTTCTTCCAAAATATATAAGACTGAAGACTGGTGCTTCTTATTTATTGATTTGCCACTTTCCTATGTATCACGTCTTCTGAGTGCAAAGTCTGGAGGGAAGAGCAGGGGGCAGCCCATTCCCCTGCCTGGTGGAATGAGCTCCCGGAGGAGATCCGGGCCCTGCAGGATCTGGCGCAATTCCGCAGGGCCTGTAAGACGGAGCTCTTCCACCAGGCTTTCGATTAGGGGCCGCCGCCGC